AGAAGGTCTCTGTAATCTAACATCATTAGGTTACTTCTTCCATCGATCCATTGTCCATGGATTCACTATTTAGGACATATTTTGTTCATTGAGATAGTCCTAATTAGTATCTTTGCCTTCCGATGTATAAGAGTCATATATACATCAATTCATTGTCCTGAAAGGTTTCTTCCAAAGATTGACTTTCAGGGTATATTTCCAACACTTGGCTTCGCTAAGGGCGCCAAGGGAAGAACCGAGTCTTTAACCTCCGATGCCGACTCAAGCAGCAGCTCGTATCCTGTAGACATGCAATTCATGACTACTGGTGCAACTTTAATCGAGGAACAGCTAGCTCAAATGAATCAAACAATTGCAAGGCTGACAAGGATCGTGGAGGAAAAGGACTTGCAAATTGCCACACTCGTCAACCGTTTGGAGGCGCAGCATGACGAGAAAGTTGACCACGACCTGAAGGTTGATCAACCAAAGAATGAAACCGAAGAGGAAAAAGAGCTGCTACTGGAGAAAGCCAAGGAAAAGCTCAAGGTAGACCGAGTTATAACACTCATGAGATCTATCTCTATCCAATAGCTGTAAAAGATGATCACTAGCACGACCAAGGCATAGTACAAAGAAAGCTCACATAACTCAGTGTTGTACTCAGAGCCATGCTCTAAGAAGATTAACGCCTTGAAGATGCCAAGGGGTTATCAGCTGCCAAAATTCATGCAGTTTGATGGAAATGGCAATCCCAAACAATATATTGCCCATTTTATTGAAACCTGCAACAATGCTGGGACAGAGGGAGACTACCTCGTCAAGCAATTCGTGTGCTCGCTAAAAGTAACGTCTGTGACTAGTACACCAACCTTAAGCCCGAGTCTATCAACAACTGGGACTAGCTTGAAAGTGAATTCTTCAACAGTTTTTATAACACTTGTTGTACCTTAAGCATGTTGTAGCTAACAAGTACAAAACAGTGGAAGGATGAGTCTGCCGTTGACTACATTAATAGATGGCATTCATTAAGTCTAGATTGCAAAGATCAGCTTTCTTAAACCTCCGTCATTAAGATGTTTGTTCAAGGTATGCATTAGGGGCTACATTACATCATCCAAGGCATAAAGCCGAGAACATTTGAGGAGTTGGTAACTCGATCCCATGACATGGAGCTGAGTATCGCCAATGATGGGAAGAATGAGCCAATCACTAACTTCAAGGATTAGGTGTTTGCCTCAAAGGTAGACAAGGCTGGGAAAAAGCCTGCCAATGAAGCTTTTGCCGTCCATACAACCCCCATCAAGACCTTATCCACGCCCATCAAGATCTCCTCAAAAAAAAAAACAAATGAGATGAAGAGAGGCAAGCCTTCTTGTACCCAAGACAGGTTCAAAAACACCTTAAGGGAAATGGAGCAGAAGACATACCCTTTTTCGAATTCTGACGTGGCTGCAATGCTATACGGCTTACTGGAAAAGAAGGTAATCGAGTTACCTGAGTGCAAGTGCCCCGAATAGATGAATCACGTTAGAGATCCTAGGTATTGTAAATACCATCATATCGTGAGTCATCCTATTGGTAAATGCCTTGTCCTCAAAGAACTCATCATGAAGCTGGCACCGCAAGGGCAAATTGAACTTAACCTCGAAGAAACGGTCCTAACACACACTACTATGATTGTGTTTGGGTTTTTTGATCCCGTGCCTCTCCAAGTGACGCATGACCACTCCTGTCTATGCTCAAGGTACACGGCACCTTTTGCACAACCATCGTTGAGGGTAAACGACCAAATACACCTACCGACGATGAAGAAAGATGGACACTAGTGACCTACAAAAAGACAAGGAAGCCCAAAATGAGCATAAGAGCTACCAAGCCAACATACGCAGGGGAACCTATAGAGTAAAAGCCACGCATTCCCGTCTCTTTGCACGAGTACTTCCCTAAAGACTTCTTCCAATAGTGCACTACTTCTGCCTGACACATGGTTGAAATAGAGATAGAAGAAGCCTCAAAAGGCAAAGTTATCATCATCGAGGAAGAGAAAACTCTCACACCCAATGAAAGCTTACCAACACACTTTAGCATTGAGGAAGCACTAAGATTGCCCCAAGAGATGCGAAAAGCACTAGTAGCATCTTGGTTAATCCCGACGACCACAAAGTGCAAGAAAGCAAGGATGAAAGCTTGAAGCTTCGGCCACACGAATATGCCACATATTGTGCCACCCATGACACAATCAACTTCACTGACGAAGACTTGATGTTGTGCTCAAAGCCTCACAATCGTCCTCTCTTCGTCTCTGGGTACATAAGGGAGCACAAAATCAAATCAAGCACGCTATTCCATGTGATTGATGCAAGAACTTCCTACAGCTTACTTTTAAAAAGACCTTGGATCCACGAAAATGGAGCAGTGTTGTCCACCCTTCACCAATGCTTAAAGTTCTACCAAGAAGGAGTAAAGGTGATGCAAGGCGACACCAAGCCATTCATCGAAGCCAAATCACACTTCACGAATGCCAAGTTCTACATGGATGAAGACATGGTGCCCGAAGCTCTTCCAAAAGAGATCAAATCCACAGGCAAAATAGCACCTAAAAAGCAGAAGTGGCAAACCATACCCAAGAAGCAAGAAGGGGAAGTCGTGCCATCTTCAAGAAAAAACGATAATGAGCCGGCTAAGCTCGCAACAACCAAAGAGAGTGTGACGCCTTTAAAATGACCGAGCACACTCGTCTTCCGATACATCCCAATGTTGAGAAAAAAAAATAGGCAATCTCCATTCAAAACTAGAATAAGCAAAGTCGACACACAACTGCACAAGGACGATGTAAAGTTACTCAAGATAAATGTAGTTTTACCTCTAACACAGCTAGGCAACGCTAAAGTTTCAAAACCACCACAAGGTTTCGTAAAACCCCTGCCAAAAGGGGCGGAACTAAGCTCTCTTCCAACCAAGAGGACTACAAACTCATGTCAAAGGCTGGGTACGATTTCGCCTCCTCTTCAAATCTTAGAAAGAATAATGCAAACATCGTCAACAATAAAGAACGTGACCTCACCGAGGCTCAAAAGAAGTTGAAGGAACATGGTTACGGAGTTGACAAACAAAGCTGGACTTGGCTTCACACCAAATACACCAGTGAAGATTTCAAGCAAAGCAAAAAATGCTAGCGCTCAACACATTAGCATGAGCGTTGAACAAAGTTAAGAGGAGCCTAAACCCGCCCCTGAAATGTCAGTCTTTGATAAGCTGAATCGTTCAAAACCTAGAATTTCGGCAATTGATCGCATTGGTGGTCGAGATCGAACTTCTGTCTTCAAACAGCCTAACACGCCAACACCCTAAAGCTCTGTGTTTGAAAGGTTGTCAAAACCTAAGAAACAAAGCAACACGGCTAGCTCTTCTCCACGATGGTCGACCTTGGAAAGACTTGAAGAAACCAAGAAGCCTTCTAGGAAGAGGAAGACAATGCCAAAGGAAGAAAAGCTCGACCGTCTAACAAGAAGAGACGATGTTCGAAGCTCGATTCCTTCAAGGATGAAGCGCCAAGTAACCTTGGAAGTTGACACAAAAGGACAACTAAAGGTAAAGAGGCGCACCATCAACTACACTAGCCAATCTTCACGCCAACAAGTCTAAGAGGACAACACTGAAGAGAAGGTCCAAGACGTCTTCCACGTCACACAATCAAAGAAGACGAAGTCCCCAAGGAAGACGTCACTGCTACACCACCATAATTCAAGGACAAAGGGCAAGAAACCGTTGTCAATGCACTTCAAGCTTGGATGAAGCTGAAATTCTCAAAATGATCGAAGCTGATTTCATTTAAGAGGTCATAAACTTGAGATGGAACTCAAATGTTGTCTTTAAAAAATTAGGGTAACTCTGCACTTGCATAGAGTTTCGTGACTCGAAGCAATACAATGCCTAAAGAGAAGGCAACGCTCATCACCTACACGAGCTAAAACTGCACTAGACACAACGCTCCTCACCTGCACAAGCTAAAACTGCACTAGGCACAAACGTTTCTTGCCTGTATGAGCTGAAACTGCAAAAGACACCGAATCCACGCCAACTTCATATATCAACCGCCTGAGCCATTACACCCTACAGTTGCTTCATGGCCATTTGATGCATGGGGATTGGACGTTGTAGGACCAATTACACCAAGGTCATCTGCAGGAAAAGCCTACATCTTAGCTGCGACTGACTACTTCTCTAAGTGTGCTGAAGTTGTACCCCTAAGGGAACTCAAGAGGGAAACTGTCGTCTATTTCATCAAGGAGCATATCATCCACCGCTATGGTGTGTCTCGCTACATCATCACTGATGATGAAAAACAGTTCTCCAACTTACTCATGGACGAGCTCTGCGAGAAATGCAAGTTCAAGCAGCACAAATGTTCCATGTATCATGCTCCGGCCAACGGTCTTGCAGAAGCATTCAACAAAATGTTGTGCAACCTCCTAAAGAAGGTAATCGGCCGAACAAAGAGAGACTGGCACAAAAGAATAACTGTGGGCATATAGGACGACACATAGAACTCATACCCAAGCTACGCCTTTTCTCTCGTAATATTCATTTATATCATAGATGATGAGAATTAAAGAAATTAAATCTTACTTTGGATGAAAAGTTCATGTTGATGACAGGTACTATTGCTGATATCAATTGTCCCTCATTTGCTTTAATGTTGCAGGTGTCTATATATATATATAACCAAACCAGGTTTTTTAACACTCATACAGGTTTGTATTTCTGTGAAAAAAATTTAGGAAAAACAAAATGTGGTTGTGTTTATTTATTTTTTTTTTCCCAACAGGTGGCCTTAAAAGGAATCAAGTACGCATAAGAATGGTAGGATCTTCATATCAAAGGTAGAGGTCGGCTCCTTCTCTGATGTTAAACTTCTACTGTGATTTTTTTATTATTAAATTTTGGCAAAATCATTGCGTATCATAAACCTTATCACAATACCAAATAACAGGGAGAGAGATGAAAAATAGAGAGGTGTATATTTGAATGTATGTTTACTTTAGAGATTTTGGATAATGATCATGAATTGTGGTGTTAGTGCATATCTAAGTTTTTTTTTTCCACGCTTCTGCATACTGTTTATAGCTAAATGAATTATATTTGGGGTCTTCCAAATTTTTTAACTGTTACTCTGTATGAAGTTGTATTAATTTTTTATTCATTGGTTTATGTTTTGGCCTTTTTATTCAAGGTGAGCAATTTCAATTTTTTGGATTATTCAGTAATTATCATGAATGATGTGGAGTTGGTTTGAACTATTTCTGTGAATTTACATTTAGACTTTCTGGAATTTGGGTTTTAATTTCAGTAATTCCAAATTTTTTCATGGTCTGTACCCCTCTCCCTTCTTTATCGCTTATGAAGCTTTTTAATTTTAGTGATTACCCAGGTTATTTAGTTTTGACTGTTTGGTTTTTTATTTACTGATTTTTTTTTTATTAAGGTCGTGTATTTAATTGAGTTGTAATATATAAATTCTTGCTGAATTGAAGGGTTTATCTGTGTGACGATTACACAACTACAATTCGATTAGTCGAGCATCGGTCTTTTCATCCTTGAGTTGTTCTCAGAGCATCTGCTCTATCAATGCTTTCCTGCCTTCTATTGTCCAGGCTGAAGCAATCGTGTTGCTGACCTACTCCCACATTCCACCACCACGCAGGTAGACTTTTCCAAACGCATGAATTCCTATTGTCTCAAGCTATGTTGTATTTTCACAATACTCACTTTGAAAAGGTATACTCTATGGCTTCGTTCAATTTCGTATGAAAAATTAGCGAATGGTTTGTTGTTTTTAGGTTTTTTCTTTTAAATGGATTTTTTTTTTTTTTTTTTTTTGTATAAACAATTTATTGTTTTAACATGACAAGCGTAATTCATACCCTTGCAACCTATCTTGCATTGGCATCAAGGTTGATATTCATTTATGTATTTGCAACTTCAGATTATTCTAGAGCCATAGTTATGGAAGGAAAAAGGATTTTCTGCCTATGACACCCAAGAAAGGTAGTAGTCTTCTCTTTCTTGGTTAATTTATTAAGAAATGATTTCCTAAGCATTCTTCTTTTTAACTTATTCGTTTACAGTGCGGGAAGATTGTTGATTATCTCATTGACCCTGGCCTTCGTTGCCGGCACAAGTGGTGGAGATCCCTTATCACTTTATTGCACACGTTTCACACTGAGTTGTTAATGGGATTGTTCCGTAACTAGACAATTGTTTCCCAAAAATCTGTATTTATGTTGTTTCCATGCATTGAGCTATCTCTTCTTATGTTTTCGGTAATTCTTTTGTGTTGCCATGTGATCGTTCAAACAGATGCACCTGCATTCTTTTCCAGATTTATGGAACATAGAGAAAAGGTCCAAGTTTTCCTTTTTCTTTGTTAACCAAGATAATTGTTGCTTTATGTTTTCCTTGGCTATCCTACTTTTAGTGTAGGTCGTGGAAAATTCTCAAATTACTGCTTTGGAGTATTAGAATAGGCATCTTGATTCTCTTTTTACTTTCATAAATATCTATTCGATTGGAAAATAGGCCAATGTTTTCCTTACCCACTCATTGTTCATAGACTAACCCAAGTGTTTAGAGTCGTACTTTCTATGACTTTTTGTAAAGTGAACAGATCAAGTTCCACTCTCAACCTGGTTAGTCTTCAATCTACCAATTACTTTAATGTTATATTTTCTAATTTGTATTTGTTCAGCCTTTCAAAATTAATGTCTGATTTCTACCATTTTTATTATTGTTCTATTGTTTTAAGCTACAGATGAAGTGTTATACATGTTAGGTAGAATTAAGAAGTGAATTAGGTGCTCTTGAGAATGCAGGGGATGATTCTATGGGTGTTAACTTGGTTTTTAGATTGATTGCTTAGTTATAACATAAAATTTCAATATTTACATTTACAATATTAGAATGCACTGATCTAAATAAGAGACTATTAAATCACTGAAAAAAAAATCCTTTCTAACTGGTATAAAACCATATTCTTTTCCACCAAAAAAGACTAGGTAACCATACTTTATTCTTATTTTTTATAGTATAAATTGTATAAATTAATTGCATGCATTTTAATATGTCGTATTTTTCCTTGCCTAGGTTGCTTTCTTGACAATCAAGAATAATGAAGGGAAACAATAGGTGCTTCAGTGAATGACTGATTTTTTATTTTTTTTATTTTTTTATGTAGACACAAAAGTTCTACGATTGTTTGTGTGTGGATTGTGTCGATTAAATCTTTTGTTTGTTAAAATCTTCTAACATTTTTAATGTTAATAATATTATATTAATCGTCCATGACATAATTTTTCTTATAGTTTCTAATGCCGCAGCAACGCGCGGGTACCCATTTCTAGTAAATAACTATTTTCCAACATAGACCCAATCGTCAATCTATAGTTGTAGACATCAAAATTTCGGTGAAATGAATGTTGACCAATAATTAAAATTTCAACGCTCACGTGTCACATAAATTTTACATGTAGCGTGTGACTCAACGAAGAATCGAAATAAATTGGAAAAGTCATCAAATAGGACACGTGTCAATACCTGGCAGAAATGATTTATTTCATCTGATTATTTAAATCCAAAAATCAAGTTTTGGAATTCTATAAATAGGAAGCCAAGGCATTCATTTTAAAGAAAGAAAAAAAGGAAGGAAGAAAAAAAGGAAGGAAGAAAGAAAGAAGGAAATTTACATTACACCAAAACTTTGAAGCTTTGAAACTCTAAAGCTCTCAAGCAAATCTCGAAGGACCAAGAAAGCTATCTTCGTTCTTCGTCAAATCTGAAGAGAAGCGTTCATCATCCGTTCATCCTAAGATCAAGCCCCAACGGCCCTTTGGATCAACAACCTCAACAAATCCACACATCCAATCGTTCTTCAAGATTAAGCCCAAAAGCCCTTGAAGATCTGCTCATCCATCAACCTTCAAGATCAAGCCCAAAAGCCCTTGAAGAAATCCATACACCCAGTCTTCAAGATCAAGACCAAAAGCCCTCGAAGATCCGTTCATCAACTGTTCATCCCTAGATCAAGCCCCGACGGCCCTTTGGATCAACAGCTCATCCACAAACCCATACACCTATTCTTCAAGATCAAGCCCAACGCCCCTTGAAGATCCGTTCATCAACTGTTCATCCTTAGACCAAGCCCCGACGGCCCTTTGGATCAACAGCTCATCCACAAACCTACACCCTACGAAGATAGAATCAGAGGATCAAATTACAAAGAGATTGTAACCCCAAAATCATTAACACAAAAATATATTTTGTACACGGTATTCTTGTTTCTTGTTGCAGGAAATTTTTCGTGTTTACAAACTTGGCACGCCCAGTGGGACATCTCTACCTCTCATCTCTATCCTCAAATCATCGAAAAACGCAAATGGCATCAAGAAAGGATCAAGCTGTTCCTGCAATCAAAGCAAAGAACAAGAACATCATCGCCGCAAGTGGTGATATTTCGGGCATCATAACCCGAAGTAAGGCAAGAGCTCTTTTTGCTGCTGCTTCCGCCCCTGCATTAACTCTGTCAAAGGAACAAGAGCACCTGAGGTACGAGCCTGTGATCACCCTAGCCTCGCTAAAGGCATCAAGGGGGGAAAGCCCGAGGAAATACTCAGAGTCCCTACTCTCCGACGCTGATTCGAGCGGCAGTACAACCATGCAAGTCATGACCACTGGAGCAACTTCAATCGAGGAGCAGCTAGCTCAGATGAATGAAGCAATCGCAAAGCTCACACGGACTGTGGAAGAGAAGGACTTATAAATTGCCGCACTTGTCAACCAACTAGATGCGCTGCCCGACGTGAAAGTCGACCCAAATATTGGCCTATTAAAGAAAGAAGACGACGAAGAAGAGGAGCCACCAGTGGAGAAAGTTGAAGAGAAGCCAAAGCTAGACCAAGCAACGACATTCATGGGATCTCTCTCTATCCAGCAGCTACAGGAGATGATCGCAAACACTATCAAGACACAGTACGAAGGAAGCTCGCATGACTCCGTACTGTACTCAAAGCCTTACTCCAAGAAGATTGATGCTTTGAAGATGCCAAGGGGTTATCAGCCCCCAAAATTCATGCAGTTCAATGGAAAAGGCAACCCGAAGCAACATGTCGCCCATTTCGTTGAAACTTGCAACAATGCTGGGACAGAGGGAGACTACCTCGTCAAACAGTTCGTGCGTTCGCTGAAAAGTAACGCTTTTGACTGGTACACTGACCTCGAACCTGAGTCTATCAACAGTTGGGACCAGCTAGAAAGGGAATTCCTCAACCGTTTCTACAGCATTCGTCGTACTGTAAGCATGCTAGAGCTGACCAGTACGAAACAGTGGAAAGATGAACCTGTCGTCGACTACATAAATAGATGGCGTTCTTTAAGTCTGGATTGCAAAGATCGGCTTTCTGAAACCTCTGCCATTGAGATGTGCGTTCAAGGCATGCAATGGGGACTACACTACATCCTTCAAGGCATCAAACCACGAACATTTGAGGAGTTAGCCACCCGCGCCCATGATATGGAGTTAAGCATCACCCGTCATGGGAAGAAAGAACAGATCGCCGACTACAAGAATGACAAAGTTTTGGGGCCAAAGGTGGATAAGGCTGCGTGGAAACCCACCAAGGAAGCAATGATGGTCAACACAACTCCAGTCAAAATCCATACACGAGGCAAGGCGATTCAAACCGAAGCTTTTCGTGATCAAGAGATACGTAGACGCACTTTGAAGGAGCTTGAGGAGAAGACTTATCCATTCCCCGACTCTGACGTGGTTGCCATGTTAGATGACTTGCTGGAAAAAAAGGTGATCGACCTACCTGAGTGTAAACGGCTGGAAGAGATGAACCGTACTGACAGTCCAAGGTACTGTAAATTCCACCGCTTCATTGGTCATCCGACGGAAAAGTGCTTTGTGCTAAAAGATCTCATCATGAAGTTGGCTCAGAAAGGGATCATCGAGCTAGATCTTAATGATGTGGTGAAGTCAGACTATACCACCATCACTTCTGGCTCTTTGAACTCAAAATCTTCACCTCAACCGCTGGGGGCATGCTCCAAAACCATGTCAGTCAAGTCAAGTGAAGTTGAAGGATGGACTTATGTCACTCCAAAGAAAATGCACAAGAAACATAGGTCTCCTCCACAAGTTCACCAATCGGAAAGGGGGCAAAGCAGCTACCGTCAACCTTCAAAGCTACATGAAAGTGTTGAGGATGATGAAATTATGACACAAAGATCGTCTGTTGCCATCACGATGCGCGATTTCTTCCCAGAAGACTTCTTCAATCACTCAGTCAAGACTCCTTGCTATGAAGATTGCAAGGAATGCCTCTCCCAGACCGCTTGACAAATCCATAACCACACGCTCCTCGTTCGCACGAGCCTAAAAGGCGACAATCAAACGCTCCTCGTTCGCACGAGCCTAAAAGGCGACAATCAAACGCTCCTTGCCTGCACGAGCTGAAACTGCAAACGGCACCAAACGCTCCTGGTCTGCACGAGCCTAAAAGGCGACAATCAAACGCTCCTGGCCCGCAAGAGTATAAACTGTGTACGGCAAAATCATCATCAAAACCATCACTCATTTGAACTACGTTATGACTTGATCTCTTCTTTGGAAGAGTACGTAGGCAACTTGAAACTTCAAAACTTCAAGTACAGTCACATCAAAATAAATAAATAAATGTTTCATTAAAGAAAGTCAATTTTATTACAAAAGAAAAAAAAAATACATATGTTACTATGTATTAGAAAAAAATATATATATTCTCTACTCAAAAAAAAAAAAAAAAAAAAAAAACAAATATACTTATGTTATAATGTATTACAAATAATAATAATGGCGGTGGGCTGGATTGTTGAGGATAAAGCCCAGAACCATGATTGGGCTGGATTGTTGAGAATAAAAGCCCAAACCGTGGGCTAGATTGTTAAAGATAAAGCCCAAAACCGTGAGCCTATTGGCATCAGCCCAATGGCGTCCTTCTTCTTCCTCGCACCCATGCCCAGCAACCTCTCCACTACCATGGAAGTGAAGCATCAGCTTTGCTACCTCACTCCGCCAAACCCCATCTGCTACACATGGTGCGCACACCCGGAGCAAGGTGGCCTCCACCACCAGTCACCAT